TAGAGTGCAAACTCCAGGGCAATAGGCCAACCAACACAAAAATAAAAATCAAATTATGCATCTTGTAATAATTTCTGCTAGGCTTTCATACAGATATACTCCTCATAGCTTCAAATGTTAATAACTATACACCAGCACATCTACAAAATACTGTGGTGTAAAAATTTCCATTTAATATCTTAAATTAAATTTAAAATTTAAATTTCCAAATAAGATATAAAAGTTGCCCTGACATAAAGGACAGCAATAACATAGTTGGCTTCTGGCTCAGGCATTTCAAAAAAGATTAAGAAATAAAATGAATACAAAAAAGCAAAAATTAGTTACCACTAAAGGATTCTTAGGGTAATACTAAAGTGAATTCCTCTGTCTGAATCTTAAAAACAAAGTCAACTTTACAGTTTATCAATCTGATGAAGCCTCCCCTCACATTTAACTTATTTGTAAATACTTTTCCAAGGTTATCTCAACACTCACTGATCAGTTAAATATGCTGCCTATATTAATTCCTGTTAAAATTAAAGAAATTAAAAGTTCATTTCTATTTTTTAAGCAATGACTGATACAATTAACCAGTATTCAGTGCTTCAGAAAAGGTGTTTATCAGGTTCTTAAAACATTTTTAAAAATGGGACAATTTATAGCCCTTTCACCTGGAACATATTCACTATCTTAAATTTTACTGAATAGATTCACTTTTCTCCTTCTGAAACTTTACATTCCTTCAAAGAACTAAATAATTCAACACCTTACTAATAGAAAGAACAAAAATATATTTATTTTGTTACACAACTGCAAATACATCCAAGAGAAAACTATTCAGGATGTCTAAGTAAAGTTATTTAACAAAACTTTTTTTCTTTTATGTGCATCTGTGTGTTATATGTGTGCATCTGTGTATTAAACAAGTAATTTTTCACAAGTTAGTTTCTCAAATAACAGAATTCTAGATTAAAAACTATTAAAACATTCCTAGAAAGATTACCATTTTAATCACATAGTTTAAGACAAATGATTACTGAAACAAACTTCAAAGATAGCCATCGATATGTTTTAGTTGTGTGTCTTTTTAATATTCAGTTAACACAGGAACACTACATCTAATTTAGAATACAATATTTTAATCCCCAGAAAGGTAAATTTCCAGAACACCAAGCCAAAATATATATAGTAACAACCAGGATTATTTTTAAAATGAAGGAAAAATCCCTTTTATTTAATGATTAATATTAAAAATCATTAAAATTTAAACTCTGAATAAAAAGCAAATTTGCTAATTCACTTAGCTATAAAATATCTGATTATCAAAATGTTTTTGTTACAATGAACATACAGATAGAGAATTTTATCAGTATTAGCCCAAATACATAAATCATCTTCCACAGCAATTAAATTTCATAGAATGTTGAAAAGCAAAACAGACATCTGAATTTCAAGTCAGAATTTCAATCTGTGAGATTCTCATTCTGAGTGAAGAATTTTGGGAGATCCAGATAAGGGTGCTCAATAGAAAGGACACCTAAGGCATTTATAAACCTCAATCAATTTAAATTGCATATTGTGCTGGGTCCTATGGGATAAGATTCTCTAAGAAATTATAGATTTTGTATATGTACCTCTGAGTCAGTGAATTTTCTAGTTCAGACATGTGGCTAATTGTGTTAAACCCAACATGAAGTTTTATGTCACTCTATGTGAAAAACAAAAAAACAAAAACAAAAAAATCACATTATCAGCACTATAATTTAGGCTGATAATAAATGAATCATAAATTGAAGTTTCCAAATAACCTAAGTACACCTCAATTATCGAATACAAATGGAAGAACCATTTTGCTTCACTTTTTACAGATACTGGGCTTATTGATATTAGCATTTGGCTTTTCAAAGTGGGAACTATTCAAGATCTAAAAATTTCATTAATTTTAAACACAAAACTTAATTCTGACTAATTATAGTCACTATAAAAGTCTTGAATCTCTCTCTCTCTCTCTCTTTCTCTCTCTCTCTCTCTCTCTCTCTCTCTCACACACACACACACACACACCTCAATGAAAATGTGAGATGAACTCCAGAGCTTTTTAAGTACTGATGGAATTCTCTTAACCCCTAGACACACTGGGAGGGGTTGGATGTCTGTCTCTTCTTCATTGATAACCTCTTTCCAATTATTTTTTATTTAACTGTGGTTCATGGCATTATTTTTTTTAAGGAGTTCTTAGAAAGCTGCAATTGTTTCCAAAATCAGAAGCCAATCATAGATGATGCACTCAAATATAACAGACATAGTATTGTTATGGAGGTATTTACAAACAAGTATCCAAAGAGCTCACTTGTGAACACCAGCTTACATACAATTAACTCTAAAATAATAATTTGTTTATATAGTATGCAAGAAAGTTTAGCAATTCAGCCCTAACTTTAATCCATTTCCTTAAGTCACAAAACAAAGGAAAACATTCATGAATTTCATATATCTGTGGAAAATGAACACAAGTTATTTCTAAGATTAGCCTTCATTTCAAGGAGGTACAACTAACAACGTACACATTACACATTTAAAACGTATTGTGGACATCTAAAACATAAAAGCTGATAGTAGCTTAAGATTAGTAAACATTTCCTCTGAAACAACACATATTCAAGTTAAAAGATGCAAACTGATAGGTCTCATGATTTAAAAATATTTCCATTTCAAAGGCGCAAAAGTTTCTGCAGATGTACAGGATGGGCTTTAAAAATGGACACATATGTCAACTTTTCCATGGTCTTGGTGTGTGTGTTCCCCCTTCCTCCCAATGTCTTCTGCTCACAATGTTAAAGAATCTTCATCTCTCTTCCTGTATTTTCAACCAGAAGTCCTCAATACACAATCTAGCCAAATTGAATATTAGGTATTTTACAGCTTTTACAAAATGGCTGTAAAATCACATTATGGGCATACATAGCTCTTTGATCTCACTGCACAGAATTCATAACTGTTCAATAATGCTATACCATTACACCACACACCTTAAACTATTTCCATTTTTCCACAATTCCTTCCAAAATCAGCTTCCAAAGCAATGTAACATGAAAAGTTCCTGGGAGGGCTGGTTCCACAAAAAGAACCCTTTTGGATACACACTAACCTATACACATCCCCATCTTCTACTTAGTTTGTTTCTCCCTCCTCTCCCTCCATCACTCCTAAAGGTGGGTGCACTTGAGTAATGGAAAGAGAAAGCCTTTCCATCACCACACCCTCTCAGCTCCTTTGCCTTTGGTCCTCAGACAGGGAGTCTGTGTAGGTGATGAAAATGCCAAGAAAAGAGAAGCTGTCCCTTTAAAATGCCCTGCTAGGTCCCATATCCCACGTGGAACCAACATCAGCAGCACTTTCCCATTTAACATCCATGTGAAGCCAGAAGCACCATCCTTTTAGAGAGAGAAAACCAGAAAACCTCAGCTTAACATTCCTTAGTGAGCATGCACAGGTGAAAGCAGTGTCAGGAAGGGAGAAGACCCAGCAACTCCCCACCCCTCCCCAAAAGGTAGACCAGCCTTGCCCTCCAGTCTCTCGGGGCTACCTCCCTTCTCAACCCCTCCTCTGGAGAGCCCTGCTGAAAGAAAGGAGGGAGCCACGAACAAAACCTGAAGCCTAAATGCGACGAAAATGCCAACGAAAGCCCCAGTGGTTTATTCTTCCAACCACACATATTAACTCCATTAAGAAAATGGCATCACTTTTTTTTTCGACCCCAAAGGAAAATAAATAAATAAATAAATAGCCCCCGAACCTCGCGAAGAACATGAAAAGGCAGAGATAAAATAGCAAATATGGTGTTTATCTTATCTCAGATCAGTCCCCATTACCAATAAGTTTAGCAGTTTCTGCACTACCACCTCCCCCTCCCTCCCCTGCCTTCTCTCGCATCGGATTTTCACGTTTTCTCATTGTCGGTGGAGTTATAAAAGGCTTTTGCCCTCCGAAAGTTTTAAAAAAATAAATAAATATTAACTCCTTGGTCCCTGCAAAGTCCAAACGGACTTCAGAGGAAAGGCGGTTCACACTTTTACCTCTGGCGAGAAAAGGGGGAGCATCCCGGATTTTTAGGGATTTTTTGCGATTTTTTAACAATTTTTATTTGGTTATATGCCTGAGTTCTCCCTCCATTTTGGTTGTTTATGATACTGACAACAAGCTGTCCCTGCTCTGTGCCGATCTCCTGCTTTCATTTAGCACCCCCTCCCCCTCCCCCCCGCAGCCACACACCCCGGGCTCACACCTCCCTGCAGACCCCGAACCCCGACCCCAGCTCGCCCACCTGAGCGGAGGGCAAAGCAAAACCCCACCAAATTCATTTCTCCAGAAAAGAAGAAGGAGAAAAAAAAAACTCTTTTGGAAAAAAAAAAAGAGGGGGCAAAGTTACCCCAAGTCACTCAAAGTGCCCCCCAAATATTGCCGGCCGCGGGTCTCCGCTAGGCCCTTTGGGACGGGACCACCCCCCGGGATGTTTTGGTGGAAAATGCGGAGACTTTACTCTCAAAACTGAATTTATATTAATTTTTCCCTTATTTTTCGGGTCTCTAATGTCTTCCGCTCTCGCTGCTGCCGCAGCCGCTGTCACAATATTCACAGCACCAGAGAGGAGGAGGAGGAGGAGGAGGAGGACGAGGAAAACTTTTCAAACTTTCCAGACCCTGAATAAAGGGTGTTCTTCTTCTTCTTTTTTTTTTTTTTCCCACCGACCTCACCTTCGGGTCCCCAGCCGCATCGCCCCCCGCCTGTCAGAGGCGACCGCGGGAGTCCCCGCAGCCCCGGGGAATTATTTCCATTTTATTTGTATTATTATTTTCCTCTCTGGGGTCCGGAGCAGGGGCTGAAAGCAGCACAAACTTTTCCTCCCGCTGCCGCCGCCGCGGCTCCTCTGCCCCCTCGGCCAGTCCCATAATTTAAATAACCCTGATATTTCTCCCGCTAAACGCCTCTCCGCCGCCCCGAACCCCGGGAGAACTCACCGCGGGGCTTTAACATCCTCCCTCCGGCCCGTCCGCCGCCTTTACACCGCCCGCGGAATTTCTAATAATTTTTTTCTCATATTTCGGGCTGGACGCGGCGGGCCTGGAAATTGTTTCCTTACGCCTCTTTCCAGCAGCCATTGTAGTGTATGCGCTGCCCCTGCAGCCCAACTTGCAGCTGCCGCTGCCGCTGCCGCCGCCGCCGCCGACGTCGCGCCCACCGCCGCCTCCCCCGGCCTGGTCGGCCACCGCCCCCGCCTCCCGCCAGCCCGCCCTCGGCCCCCTCCCACCCGCCACTCAGCCCGCCTCCTTCCGCGCGCTCCTCCCTGGATCCGACCACTCAGCGCCGCCGCCGCCGGGCTCCGGCCCTCCCATTGGTCCAGAGTGCCGCCTGTCAGAACGAAGTGTTAAGAGGTAGCCCTTCGGCGGGGGGCGCGGCGGGGCGGGGGAGGAGGCGGGGCCACGCCGCCAACCCCGCCCACTCCTCCCGCCCCGGCCCTGCTCCCTCCAACTAGGGGCGGGGCAAGACCCGCCCGCCCCTGACCCGCAGAGTCTGGCGCGTCTGTCAGTCTGACGGCGCCGCGCCCCGATTGGTCGAGTTGTCGCTGGGGAGCGGGGGCAGCAAGTTGGGGTGCGCACTACTTAAGGTCCTGCTGCGTGAGCCATTGACGTGTTTGGAGCTGGAGACGGCCTGGGTTCTGGGGAGGCAGCGGCCCGAGGTGAGTGGTCCTATGCCTCTCCCTCTGCGTAGGCTGAAGGGAAGCGGGGAGAGTGGGGCACGCCTGGGTGGCCGCGGGGCTGGATCCACTTCTGCAGCCCCTGGCCGCTCCCGCCCGGCCTCGCCTCCGCTCGGGCTCCTTCCCGCGACTCCTTCTCTGGCCACCCAGGTCTGCTCGTTCGGCCGGGGCCGGCCGAAGAAGGTGACCTGTGCCGGGCCCGGACACCCCAGCCCTTTGCATTCGCCTCCATCTCCAGCTTTTGGAGCGCGGTGGCCTGCCCTCCCCCCGTCCCTCCCCTCCCCCGGTTTCCTCATTCTCCGAAGCCCCCGGCTCCTCTTGGTCGCTGAGCGAAGCCAGGTGTGCTCACCTGTGCCCGTCGTCCAGATTGGACATCGATGGGCAGCTCTGCAGACTCTGCTCTGACCTCCCCGCGCCCTCTGGTACGCACCCTTGACTTCCTGCCCCTGGCCTCTGCACCCAGACTGTGGGGTTTACAGCTTGGTGTCTTTTGTTGCTCTGTTTAGGAGTCACAGACCCTTCTTAGGCTCTGACCAGCCAGCCTCAGGCATGCCTGGATGTGTTCTCAGTAACGTTTCCCTTCCCCCTCTCCTTTCAAAACTGCTTGCAGAGTCGGGGGGCATGGACAACTGTACGAAAAATCCAGAGCTACACAGGCGATCAGTTTGCTCCTAAGAGGATGTCGTGTGCTTTTTATTGCCCTTCCCTCAAATCTTTGGCTTTCTTTCTGGTAGTCCTCTTGCAAGTAGTTGAGCCTTGTAACATTTGCTTAGTGCAGTACCTTCAAAAAGTAAGCAGATAAGGCCTCTCTAGCCAAGCACTCAAACTTGTTCTTCAGACCAGTTCCTCTCTGTTAATTGCCATTTCCTCTTCGTGTCTGGTACTACGTAGGAATTCAGGCAAAGGAGGTGACATTCGGAAGTCCACACTTACAGTAACTTTTCCTGAGACACTGGAAGGAAAAGAAAATGCAATGTGAATCAACTCAAACAGTGAATCTGATCCAGTGTAGGTGATGGTACCAGGGTATCATTTTTGAAGACTTGATGATGATAAGGAAATACAGAGTAGAATACTTTGATGTAAAGCAAGCTATTTAAGTTCTGTGTCCGATTGTTGTCGAGCTTTTCCCACTCAAAATGTATGAAGAGTTCTGTGTTATCACATCGCAAGATAAATGTGAAAGAGAAGGCTGTGTTATTCCCGAAAGAGTCAAGTCTACAGAAAAAAAAAATTGTGGAGACAAAGAAGCTTCTATGTTTAATAGAACAGCATTTTGGATTTCCTTTTTTTTTTGTCATGATATTTCTGTTGGCTAGATTTGGTCATGTTTTAATGAAACTCGTAAGATATTTGGTAATCATTAGAAGTTAAAGGATCACCAAACCCTGTTCTTTTTTTGCCCTCTTGTAACCCCATAGGGTCTCCCTCTGTGGCTCAAGCTGGAGTTGAACTGGAGTACCTCCTGCTTCTGCTTTCCAAGTGTTTGGATTACAGTCCTGCACTACATCACCTGGCTTAACCAAACTTTTTTTTGTCCCTTTTTTGAGAAGGTTGTTTTGTTTTGTTTTGTTTTCTGTGTGTGGTCCTCTCTTGCACAAGGAAAAGTGAACCCACCGTATAAAAATCCTTTTTTATCTCCTTATATCATCCAATTTGTTGTGGGGGTGGGGGGTGTGCGCGTGTGTTGCCTGTTCTTCTCTTCTGGGGTTTGATGGTCTTTAGCTCAGCTTCTTGCTTATGACTGGTTTCTACCCCTTGAACCATTCTCCACTCTGGTTTTTTATTAGTTAAATGGGAGATAGGTGTCTCCCAGACTTTTCTAGCTTCGAATCAGGATCTCTTCCTGAATAGCTAGGATTCCAAGTATGAACTATAGTTATACCCTATAGTACATTTTTTTTTAATTCAGAGTTTTGTAGGATGTATTACATTATTTTGCTGGATTCTCCTTTGATTTTTAGATAGACGAATGATTAACCTAGAATATGATTTGAGCTAAATCAAGTCCTTAAGTTTATTTCAGAACGTTCAAAAGTAGTATAAGTGATTCATCTTTAGAGGATACCAGTATATTCAAACAAAAACAAAATATCACTTTGAAATAGACTATTATGACTGTTGGTTTTTAAAATGTTTCTTTTAGTTCTGTGACATCTCTTTGATGATAAGAGTCATATGAATTTTAGTTGAGCTTCATACTAGAGAGTAATTGTCCTGGAATATAGTTGATATACTTATTTCATGAATATATAATTTGATAATTAATTGGGTCTTAGGGAACTGGTGATCTAAAACAAAAGAAAACCCATCTGGCTTTTCCAAGTGCCAACTAAGTAGTAATATAGCTTTTTGGTATATTGGCTGCCCTATGGGTGGCTACAGAGTAACTGCTCTGGTACTTTAGTTGATGAATGTTTTGGTTAAAGTCGGGCTTCCTAATAAATTGTTCTTTCCTTCTTTGTACATTATTAATTTTCATTGGTATTTTTTGTTATTTAAGAAGTGAGGAAAAATAATACTGATATTTGCTAGACATTACAATCAAAGTTCAGTAGCTCCCATTGAATACGGCCTGTTTTGGCACTGTGAGAATACAAAGGAGAAACACATTGGAGTTTTTATTGTTGTTGGTACTGGGGTTTGATCTCAAGTCTCAAGATTGCTAGGCAGTTACTCTCACTTGAGCCATGCCTCCAGACATTTTTTTGCATTTTCCCCTATCACTGGCTTGGGCTGCACAATTCTACTACGTATGGCCTTGTAAGTAGCTGCAGTTACAAACTTGAGCCAATGTGCCACACCCTCCAAGTCTTCATTTCCAAGTAGGGGATAATGAAGTTCCTCTCTAGATGAGTATTATATCAAAATTCAATTTTCAAGTATTGGTGGGGCTGATGAGATTTATTTTCTGTCATTCCCTGCCTAACTGCTTTTTTCTCTGTACCTTCAGTAAGAAAACGTAGAATGCCCCTGGTGACAAAGCGACTGAGAGATCCCGACATAAACCCTTGCTTGCTGGTAGGAAGGTTTGCTTTTCATTTTTCTTGAGTATTAAGTTGGAAAAAGAAGAAGAGGAAGAAGACAAAAAAAACCATAAAAAAACAAAAAACCAATAATAAACCAGGCTTCCAAAAAAAAAAAAAAACCCAACAACAAACCAGGCTTCCATCTAATTTTGTGGGCATCTGTTTCCTGCAGTTGTTGAATAAAGTTATTTCTGTACAAAAAAGTATTCTTGGTCACTGTATTTTATTTCACTAGAGCATTTAAATGTGCATAATACGGCTAGCAAAGTCTTTTCTTTAATTTCGTTTATTTGTAAAAATGCAGCATTTAATTGCTAATGGGAAAATAGGCATATGTAACACTGAAGAAAATCTTTTGTTGAAGTAGAGAATGCTGGAAGGTAGCACATTTTTCAATTGCCATTGAATTTATGGTTTTCATAGTATTAATTTCTTTGTGTTCTCCAGACAGCCTGGCTGAATATAAAAGGGCTGACAATAGAATTAGCTTTGAAATAAAGGTTATCTGATAGCTTATAAATAAATCTTTTGGTGAAATAACAACTTTTTACTTGTACTAATATGGTATGCCTTACATTGCTTTACTGTGGCTTTGAATCATACTACTGCTGTGAAAAATTGTAGTCCTTGATTCTGTATGCATTTTTTAAAAATGCATACATCCATAGGGCTATCAGAGTAGTTCAAGTGGGAATACCTTTCTAACAGACCCTGAGTTCATACCTAGGATTACGAAAATTATATTCATTCAACATTTGTTGTATTAGAACATTTTTTAACAACTTGAAGTAGCATGTCACTTAGATTTGTGAAGCAAGAGGTTGTCTAAAACAGCCTCTCACAATCGCTTTCACTTTGAAATTTGTCATTTAGTCTACTTCCAGGTCAGATAGCTTAAGTATAATTTCCAAATGGCATCTGTCCCTTTTTAAACTGGTAACTCATGAGTTGTTGCACTTTGGTTTTGAAGTAACGTGAGTGGTAACTATAAAGTTGCTTAATTTTAGTATACTTAAGCTTAAAATGCATTGAAGTGAATGGTGTTAATTTCAGTTGACTTGATGTAAATCATTTAGCAATTTCCTTAGACTCTCAAGATCATCATTAAGATCAAACACTAAGTAAAACAAAAATTTGGAAAAACCAGAACTGTACTATGAGTCAGGAAACTGGCTTTTTTTTTTTTTTTGGTGCAGGTACTGGGGTTTCGACTCAGTCTCATGCCCTCACATAGGTGTTTTTTGTTTTGTTTGCTCAAGGCCAGTGCAATACCACTTGAGGCATGCCTCCAGTCTTGACTTTTGGTTAAGATCTTACCCAAGTATCAAGAATTGTAAGCTAGGATTCTGATTCTAGCTGTGCAGAAATTATTTTAACTGTATTATTTAATCTTCAGCTTTTGGATCAAATGATC